GCCGTTAGAATGAAAACTTATATAGTGGCCGTGACATAATAAAGCAGGGTCTTCTATCGTGTTTTTCGTTATTCGTTATGTAGTATTGAAATAATCAACGCCGGGATTATTTAATACATAACACGCTGTGCATTTGTCGACAACGTTCACTAAATTTCGACTGCTGTATGTGTCCGTGCACCGAGCGAAAAATCTGGGCCACTGCGACTGGTCGATGAACACAAACACCGCCAGAATAGTAGCATGCGCCGCGTCTGGTGGCCAGGCCACGTCAGGTCAGGTTAGCTTATTTTCCTAATTGCCCCTTTATCAGAAGTGTTACATAAGGGGTGGGTTCGCGTAGCGAATAGCTCAACGCAATAACATAGGTGCGTTCAATAAAGGAGGTATAGTAACAATCATTGATTGTTGGCCTAGTTGGTACTTGCTTACTGACATGATTTGGCCGCAAGTAATACACACACAGAGTAAAGAAACACTCAACGACAAGCAAAAGCGGCTTGTGCCGCTTGTGCTTGTCGTAAAGGAGGTATACGCACAAAACAACGTTAAGGACGTATACTGCAGAGTAAAGAGGAGACGATAGGACAGCGCACCCTTTGGCTGTCCCCTATTTTTCTCGGTATCTGTTCGTTGTGCTGTTTATATATCTTGTCCTGTCCCTACTTTTGCAGTTTATTTCGCATTTTAAGAGCTAAAAATAACGGCGATAACGTTGGTGTGCTTCCTCTTCTTCCTTGCTCTGTCGTAATGAGAGTGCCACAGATGACAACGTCGTCTCGTGTGTCGTTTCCGTGAAAGCGCTCGTCCACGTGCCCGTCGCCTGCCTCTCGCTTTACATGGACCGTGCGTGCGAAGCGTCGCGTGAGAACGTGTGATGCTGTCAACCGCGGACAAATGATGTTGACACTACCTGTATACGGGCAGGGCAGAAAGAAAGGTGAACACGTGTGCCTGTGGGTATGGCGACCCACTCTGCTTGTTTTTGTATCTGCACGGGTATCCCCGGGTATGAATATAATAGCGCGATCATTGCAGAAATATAGGTTGCTTGGGTGTGCTGTCCCTTTACCATTTGGGGACAAAGTGATCTTAATGTATGCACACGTGAAACAAATACGTGCCACCGGGATCATCAGAACAGCATTCAATCGCTATATATATGCATACATTGCCGTGTTAGCACTTGTCGTTAATTAGTTACTCCTACTTGCGTTGATTAAGGTTTAGTTGAAGAAACGTGAAAACAAATTGTCGTATGTGCATATTTAGAACCTCCATGGGGGAAGATCGAAGTGTGGCCAATTAGACTGTTCACGATGCCTACTGGTCTTTTTATCTTGTCCGCACAGGGGGCTTCGAATGCGTGGTAAATGCCGAATCGGTCTTTCAAAAAAACAGCTTGAATCATTTCTGCAAATGGGAGTTTGTTCAGTTCAGTTCCTTATTTTGATGTTCTTTTGCGGTGACTCGTTTCACAGCATCTTGTTTTCACCACCGGCACTAGACCCTTTATTAAGGCATAAATTTGAGGTGATTGGCCTCAAGCATCATCAGGCGGGCAGGCTGCACGCGTCATCTAATGGTTTTTCTATAACGAGTAAAACTACAAAGGAGCCATTATAGATATTGTGTGGTTATTATTGTGTTTTTATTGTATTGTGCGCATGGGCGCTCTTTTATTTCGTTTTCTTCTTTCACGAAGTTCCTCCATCTCCCTCTCCCTTGCTGAGTACAAGCTTCCGGATGTCCTATAGTTAACCACTCTGCTCTTTATTTTTTGCCTCTTTCCCATCCCTTAATAGGTAAAGTATTGGGAAGCCTGGGGGCAAGTTTCATACAAAGGTACTATAGACAGTCTGTGTATTTGTAGGACCAGGTTACCCCGCCTTGATTGCCGCAGTCGGTTCAGCTTGGCCTAATGGAAGGATCAATATATGGCAAAGTTTAGATAACGTTGTAAGCCGAGACAGGAGTTAGAGAGAGCTACAACCATAACGAGAGCTCATTTTCCCCTTGTCATTATCTCTCTCTCTCTTTCTAGCGAAGACCAACAGGCATAAATCACCGTCGCAGGAAATGACGCTGCGCTCGTACTTATCAGCCGTCCTGAATTCACTAGCCGCGTCGGGGCCGCGCTGTTGTCTCGTCAATTCAAAAGACGAATGCAAACAGCTAACGAACGCTAGCAATGTAGCATGGCCTCAAACCGTAAACCTTTGCAATAAGTTCGCTAATGGTGAGCGAGAGCAACAAAGTCACCGTTGCAACGAGTGAACGATTACGCTCGCATACGTATATGTATAGTCACGCTGTGCTTCCTTGTTCTGCCTGCAAACCTTGTGGAGAACGTTTGCTGAAGAAGACGTCTTTCATTAATACAGGGTCAATCGCTTGCATTATTTGCGAAGCACCGGATGTCTGTCTCTACCACGAGCTTATGAGTTAAAGAAAGAAAGAAAGAAAGAAAGAAAGAAAGAAAGAAAGAAAGAAAGAAAGAAAGAAAGAAAGTGCCAGTAGACGTTGTAATGACGAAACAGCACTGAGCTCTGCTCTTTTTGATTGATTGGTTGGTAAGCTGTCCTGTCTACTATATGGCTCATATTCATTGCGGGGAGTCGACCAAGATGCGCAGATAGCAGAGCGCTTAAAAAAAATGACAAGAAGTTGTATAACATCAAACGGTAAGATGACAAAGAATCTAGTGATTAGGCCATCGTCTCGGGTCAAATTGAAATACCCGAACGATTGAGCATGCATTGCAACGATCACTATCCATTGCCAAAGCTAGCCGTTGTCTTTACGCTCTTCCGTTTTTCTTATGGCAGTGCTGCTTTTTTCTAATTTATCAGGAGATGTAGAGCTGCACGTGAACCAGTCATACAGCTAAAAATATACGTGCTTGTTTTTGTTACCAAAGAATGTGCATACAGGGTGAATGTGCATAATACGAAGACAAAGAAGAGACTTTTGGCAGACACAGCGCTCGTATGAGGGAAGCCTCTTTTCCTGTCTTCGTCTTATGCACATTCATTCTGAGTAATTAACTCACGCAGGCCTAACGTAAAGCCCTTGTACAGGCCCCACATAACACCTGCAACCACGCAATGATTCTGCGTCCGTTTGCGAATCAGAGTATTTTTTTAATTACCCGGAGGTTCTGGGTTCGATCCCGGCAATGGCGGTCACATTTTGATGAAAGCGAACTATAGTAGAGGCCTGCGTAATGTGCAATGTTAGTGCACATCAAAGAAAACCAAAAGGTCGATATTTCTGGAGCTCTCCATTATACGGCGTCTCTCATAATCATACCGTAGTTTTGGGATGTTAGAACCCACGTGCATACAATTTTCATTCGTATCCCTGAATTAGTTACCACATTACGTTGTTTGCCACACAATCAATCAGCTGCTTTCGCTTCGTCGAACAAGAAAACCTTCCGAGGTTCATTTCTAAAATTGATGTAAGTAGAAAAGGGGGGTTTACTCCCCTTCCTCTCAAAAACAGTGTGTTTCGCGTGTGTATATATATACAAACACACAAACACAAACTGTCTCGGTTTGTTTAACGTACCCTGAAAAAAAATTTGTGGCTGCGCCCCTGATTTGTAGTAAACGTCGTCACAGTATACTTTACTATCGATACCCCACTAGGCAAATTGTCGAAACGTTGTACATTTGTTTGCTGCCGGGTAAATGCGGCGAAACTTCGCACTTCCCAATTTTCTGCCAGACCATGGAGAGCGGTTCAAAGCGCCTTTCCCGATTCCTGCATCTGAGATCAGTGCTGTGAAGAACAAAGCAACTATCGACACTGATTGATAGCGTTATTAAGCAGCTTAGGCACGTGAGCTCAGGAGCGTTAAAAAAAACGATAGGGGGAATGTATGATATATTGTGGAAAATGAGCTTGCCGCTGTTGCTGCGCCTAGATGCAGCAATATCTCTTGAAACTCTGAAAAATGCCTCTTCTGAGTACTTTTCAGCTCACACTACTAACCTCTTAATAGTTTCTCTCTCTGCTTAAAGAAGCTAATGTTTGGGCTTTAAACAGCTCAGGTGCATGCACATTGGTCGTCACACAGCTCACATTTTCTGGGCCAGCCGTTGACGTTCGTTCTCGAGGTTCGTGGCAGCCACTTCGAGCTGTCGCAGTTGGTCGAGCTTGATTTGGTAGCACTGCAGCGTGCGTAGACGTTCCAGTTGGTGGATGCGCCGCTCGTGCTGCACGTACGCGTGGAGGCACTCGACGGCGATGGCGGGCTCTTCGGATCGAGGCGATTTGTCGTCCGGCTCCGTGCTCTCTGATTCCTTTGTTTCGGGCTGCATCACCTTAGAAGCGGTGGGCAAAGTCATCACGATGTTTTCACAATAACAATAATAATATTGGAGTAATACATGGCAAAGAAGCTTTCACAATTCATAGTGTTCACACTTCACCTATTGCTACAACGAATCAACCAAATGAATCCGATTTCCAGTTATTTCAGGGAAGCATAGGACACAATAACTGTGGCACAGGTAAAAATTAAAGTGGACAAGTAATCACTTTTTTCGTCAGTCGGTTCCTAACCTGCAACCATCAAATCCTGTGTCCGATGATCTATTCATTAAGTTACGATGGAACAGCAATCGGTAGAGCACTGAGCGAGGAACAGCAAGCAGCGGAAGCCACAGCCTTCGAGTTCTCTCCACAAAAGCGATGCGCGCCACAATCTACGTGCACCAAGTGAGACGATCTAGCCCGTATCGTGCAAAATTCTACTGTCCCATTAGTGTGGTTTTTTTTTTGCACCGCATTACCACTGTTTACATGAATCGACATGCAATGTGCTATAAATGAGACGCAATGTGCCACTGCAATGTACGTACACTTCAACGCGATGTGTTTGCGTAAGTACCGCTTAAACAACCACGAACTCACCTGCGACAGAACAGTTGTTTCTGTTTGAGGCACGTAGGAGTTTTGCTGTGGCTTCACAATTTCTGCAACGGTATCCTTGTGAGGGTATGTGACCTAGAATAAAAGATATAAAAAAGCTGAGAGGATAAATGTCTGGTGTGAAAGCTTTATTAGCAGGCGTTGGGCGGGAAATGAATTTTCGCCGCATTCTGCGTCAACATTTTGCCAGCCAAAATATGAAACCGCTTTGTTCAACCTATTCTCCCTCTTTCTCTGAATGTGTTCCACGCGAAGGTCAGTCGTGCGTGCAGAATGTAAGACGCACAAATCCTTATTCTAAGGATCAGTGAAACGTAGCAAAGCATCACTTTTGGAAAAGACTAAGTTATTGTCACTGCGTGCGCTTATAATTGTAAGCTCAAGATTTAATGTCAGCTAGTGATGTAAGGCCCTTTCATCTCTACTACAAAGAATTTCTTTTTTACGTACGACATGGGGAATATGTTCCTGTGGTGCAGCGGTATATATCTACGGCGTGACTGGGTTACTTTTCTCACTCAAGCATCCATCCCTGTCTTTTTAATTTTTTAATGAAGACTGCGGCTTCTACAATGACAACGTTGCATGGTTGACATCGACTACCCTATCATTTATTGTTACCAAATTAGCATCTTTTCATTGCGTCGCATATATATCGCTTAGTTCTTCTACTATTAAAGATCGAGTGCAATGCTACGCATAAGTGCCACTCAAGTAAGACAAACACGTTTCCGTCAGCTCGTAGCACAAAGCAAAAAAGAAAAGAAAGAGAGAGAAAAAAAAAAGAATCAGATTCATTCACTTACGACAACATCCAGCGGAAGCGTTGCATGGCTGCTGCCGCCACAACCACGGCTACTACTTCTTACACCGTGGCCACAACCCATGCCAGCTTCCTGGCAAATCTCGCTTCGTTAAGCCTGCAGGAGTTTCAGATGAACACTAATGTTTTACCGAGGAGGTCTTCACAATTTGTCTAGTTGCTGTAACTTAGTTAAAAAGAGCATAAATAAATGAGCAGCGGGAAATAGAATGAGGATGGGCGATAAATAAGCACGTCAAAAAGGCGCCACTGATGCGCCCATTCGTGTAATATTTCCTATACTGCTGCTACTGCTACTGCTTGGTTATTATATATCAAAAGCGAACGTTCAGGCCCTTTGTGTTCAACAAGTTCAGCAAAGCTTTAACGTTTTCAATCCGCAAACATGCACGAATTATTTTCTCACTAAACGTGGGAATTCCAGATTTCTGATGCAACTCATGGAACTTGCTTTTGCGTTCAAGGAACACTAAAAGAGCAAAACGCTTTGCCGCGTATTAGAAAGTACAACATCTCAATTGCGAAAACACCGCTCTTACCGACACGACGCTTGGTAAGCGAAAAAAACGTGCGAAAAGAAACTGCGGGTGGAGACGCCACTTTGAGATTCTAGCACCAGACACTGTGACGTCATAAATTTTGAAGGCGTCAACTTTGTTCTTTGTACCTTCATAACCGATACGATCGAAATACATTGTCGCCGGTGGGTGCCATAGGCTTAGCATATTACCACATTCCTTCCTCAAGTTTGTTATCGCCCCGTTATGTAATACTATGTTCAGTGAAAACCGCACCTACAGTGTTCGGGAAGCTTCGATGCTGTAGTAGATCGTTTTGTTAAGATTACGCCCACTTCGCGAACATTAGAGATTATTTCGGAACCTACGTGGTTGCAAGCGATAACGCTAGAATATTCGACGGCACGTGCATAAATGCCGACGCGCTTCACCGCTAATCAGTTGATCGCCGGCCGACGCTCTGTTCGCCGCTATCAATGCCCGTCTGTTGATGTAATCTGACCTTCAGTTTCCTGGACACAAGTTCGGCCGAATATAAAGTTTCATCTTAACATCGAGTCTGCTGTCTTAATCCAATTCATGACCCCGTGACAATATAAAGTTTCAGAAAATTTTATCGAGGCAATGTCACAAAAATACAAAAAATGCGTTGTGGAATTTTTTTTTACATCACGCGCGGAGATTAGGCACGAGAATTGAAAATGAAACTTGAACCTTGATTTTATCAGCTAATAGTGATCTTATGACTGTGAAACTTATGCCATTAGAGTTCTCAGAGTGCAGTTTATCAACCTCAAATAACTCACTGTTGCTCTATAGTGTCCATTTAATGACGATGAAATTATGCCAGGAGTATGCTACTGACACAGTTGTCTGTGCGTATAATATACGAATATGCTGCATTTGACTGATGCGTCTCAACATTGGTTACCTCGTGCTGGAATGGTTAAATTTTATAATTAGGATCAGGAAATTCGTTCTATCTGCTCTAAAAGCTCACTGTCAAGGCTCTAGACTGGAGGTGCCTTAACAAATCAAAAGCAATTTATTTATTTATTTATTTATTTATTTGTTTATTTATTTAAATTGCAAACACGGATACACAAGGACACACAGTAAAGAGGGAGAGCGTAAGCTGACAACTGCCATCTGAAGGGGCACAACGCCTACTTATCCTTTCGGGAGGAGAGATGCAACGTATTTATTCATTCAAACGCAACGTTGCAGTAAAATACGATGTAAAAAATTATTTTCCTCGATTGGATTTCGTATTGACACCTTATGACTCTAATGTTAAGATAACCACAGATCCGGTTGACCTTATTCAGAAGAAAGCAACACAGTTTTTGTTTTGATTTCTCGTGTTGTGTGCCAACTCTCGCGTCAACTTCGAGGAGCCTTGACGCAAATTCGAAGTTTGTTCTGTAAAGTTGGTTCGCAAAGGCTTGGCACGTCCGTCTGGACATTGATTTCTTCGTATGTGACCTTGCGTGCAACTTCGTGTTGCAGCCTAAGATCAGTCGGAAGAACAAAATAGTAGAGGGAGGTCTGTCTTAAAAATGGTCGATCCTGCGTTCGAACGGGCACGCCATGCGGTTACAACACCCCGCCGACCTGTTTTCTGCGCTTCTTGGGTTTGCACGTCAGTGCCTATTTGTGCCAAAAGTGCCCAATGATCGCTTTGGCCTTCGAAAAAGATCTCGGTAAAAAAAAAAAAAAACAGGGGGTGGGACAATTCTTAGAAATGGCGTGTGGAACACGACACCTGTTATATTTAACCACTACGAAACCCAAAGATTTGTTCATTCGAATTATTTCGGTAGAAATTTCTGTTGCTGCTTTGATGTTTACGAGCAGGCTGTCAGACGGGCAGATACGTGAGAAATACAAAACGAGCTAGCTTATGTATCCCCTAGCTGGCACGTTTATATTATTGCATTAATTTTTTTTTAAATGAAATGGCTTCAGTGCTGATATTTCTGGTTTGCAGCATTGCGTTCGCACATTTAAAAGAGCCCCGTAGTAAAAAGCTCTCAAGGTAGTATGATGAAGCAATCGATGCTATGGATCAACAGCTTTTACAATCGTGCAAATAATAAGTTCCGATTCACTAAAAAAAAATGTTGTATAGCTGACGGGCACTAACAGCTAAAATCACAACGATGTCTCAGAAAACTCACTACTTTTAAAAAAATACAATGATTTTTTTATTCAAAAGCTCGGACTTCCGCTACTCTCTAGCCCAACAAAATTTTTACCGCATACTCAATATATTTACGTCAGAAGGCTTGTCGTGTGCGTTTCGTACATAAGTTTTTCTCTGGTTTTTACGCTTCGAGCTTGGTCTGAGCAAAGGCGACTAATTATGTAGCAAGAGCGTTCAGTGCCATTATCTACGAAGTGAATATTTTATGACCCAAGTAGCTCATAAATCGAGTTCACTTGATGGCTTTAATTTCATCTGTGCAATAAAATACTTTCGTAGCAACGCTGCCACTCTTATGTCGCGGAAACAGAAACTGTGCAGAATGCAGTTTTCCAGAACCAACCGGAGACAAAAATAGCAGTTGTATTTTTGTGAAGCAATGAAATCACTACTTTAGAGCACTGGGCAAAAAATGAGTGCATAGCATCACATTTATACCATGGTCTCGAGGAGGAGCAGTGAACAAGTTTAATGCGCTTCCGTCATACAGTGCACGGAGACAAACGATACAAACGTGATACAGAGCGACATCTCGTATTGCCGATTGTCAGAACCTCCTTGTAACACAGACTTCACAAATCGTCTCAGTAAATGAATACGAATGCATCGCTGTAGTTCTTAGGGACAACAAACCTTTGCTATAGTCTCTATGGTGTGTAAAGTGTTACCATGTGTCGTGAAAGGCACTGTTATGTACATGCGTCCTCTTTTTCTATTTTTAGTCGGCCTCAGTGTAGGGCGCCAAGCGACATCTTTATGCTGTTTAACCTCTGCCACATCTTTCTCTTACCACCCTAAATGAAAGCAATGTTCGCCCCAATTTTATATCACTTCATCGTCCTCCCAAAAATTTACGAGTATGGCCTCGTGGAGAAAATCTCATTTGCTTGCCGCGTCCAGCTTAGAAAAAAAAACGGGGCTGAAAATGCAAGCAGAGGAAGAGTGTTGATGTCATAACGATGACCCAGAGCTGGCCAGCAAGGACAAGGGGACAATGAGGAGCTCGCTGTGTCAAGTGTGACCAGTGATCGCTTTCTACACGGGAACGCCCTCCCAGCGGGACCCATTTTTGCCCGTGTACGTATAGCCATCGACCGGAATACCAAATCTCAGCGAGCTGTGTGGCAGGCGGCCATAGAGTGGAAGCAATGGTGCGGATGTGCTGTACGGCCTGGGCCGAGCCCTTGATTAATGGGCCGAGATCGCCGCTCCACTCCCTGGCCCGCTTCCGAACCGATGGCCCGGAACTCAGGTCGCTGGCCCCATCTCTTGTCGCCGCGGCTGCGGCCATCAGAACCATAGCGGGCGGCGAGGCACTTGTAGACACGGAAGGAAGGAGGCGAAGGAAGCAAGGGGGGTGCACTGATAGGGAAAAATTCCTTCAAATACGTACGAGGCTGTGAAACGACAGCCGTTCTTAGAACCGAGATTGGTCCATGGTCCAGGGATACGTCGACGTGCTTCGTTGCATTTTCAACGCTCGGGCATCACGACGGCTCATCTACGCAGGTG